ATATATATATATATATATATATATATATATATATATATATATATATATATTGTCATTTTTGTCAAATAGCTCATGTGATGATGCTATTTGTTCTAAGATAAATTTGTCATTTTATGCTATTAAATATAACTACGTAAAAATGATCTTTCATTTTTTACTTATAAATTAAGTGATACAATTTCCTTCGTTTCTCTGTTAATTCGCTATTGTCACAGTTGGGGACAGTTACGAGAAATATACATATGATTCATTTCATGTTTCTCATTCTCTCGAATGAGAATATTTTTTTGTGAAATGTAACCTAGCCAGCATTAACATAAATTGATTATGATAATTGTTAGGAAATAGGAAAATGTGGAAATGTTGACAAGTGATTAAATTATTCATCACTTTCGCTGGTATCAGAAGGGCTTGGCCAACGACTTTGTGAAGCTGATGGTACTTTCCCAATATTATTATCGATTATTTCATCCACATTTGGATGTAATCTTTCCAATGCCATCCTTCGTGCATCTCTGTAAAGCATCTAATTATTTATCGACCTGAATTGGAAATCTTAAAAAGTTAAATTCCGATATTTGATTCCAGTGATTTTATTCAGGGAATTCAATTAAACAATCAATTACCAGCCCATTGTTGTTGATAACTACAATTGAAATAAAGTTCACAAGGTATATCAGATAGATCTATCGTGATATTTTTTACTGGAATACAATTTTCTAACTCATAAAAGTTTTGTATGGCTAATTGGTGCATTTATAAACGTTACATGTAACTAACTGAGGCTTAAACTAAGGCTTTTAGGCTTCTTAAAAAAAAAACTATTTATCATTTCAAGTCTTAATTTTAATGTATCCTCAAGGTTGTGCTAGCCATAAATGAATCAGACAAACCTGTAAAATACTCCCAAACTTCTCCAATCTAACAGTTCACTTAATCGTTCTGTACGATTACGCATTATGATACGTTGACGCCGTGAAAGCCCGCAAAAGTCGTATAATACTTGTGCTAAATCACGTATTGAACCTTCACAATCTTTGAACCGACGATCAATCACGTAAATACCATATGATGCGGCATCCATTACGTTTTGCTTAAAATTTTCATCGATAACAATATTCACATATACTGCTCGTTATATTAAATAATTTACGTTTTTAAGTATTACTAAAATTTAAATTCAAAAAATTATTTCCATTTATGCACTTGTAAGTGATAAAAAAAAACTGAGGAAAAATTGTTGAATTTACGGGCGGGATCACAGGATACGGGATAATGAAAAATATCTGTAATATTTAAAGCAGTACCACAACTATACTGAACCATTGATACCTGAATGAAACAACCGAAACCGGAAAGATTTGTAGACACAGATGGTACTCCCATCACTGTACATTCAGCCGGAGTATAGCCCCAAGGCTCATAATAGCTTGGGAAGACGCCAATGTGACATCCTCGAACGAACTCCTCATAATCAAGGCCTATTAGCGGTGAAACTGATGATAAGAATTCTGCAAATTAACTTGATGTTATGAACGTTATAAAGAATTTAGAAATCCGAATATAAAACTAAAAATGGTCATGTTATGATTCGATCCGGTTCGATCAATT